CTGTTCTTAATAAATGGTGCCCAGACCATAACAGAAGAAAGAGGAGGAATGTGCCTTGGATTTTTGTGAGAGGCAGCGAAGGAGTTTCCCATGGGAATGCCAATCTGCAAAGCTGCATTTTGCCACATCTCCAAAGTACTTTTTTTTTTTTTCTTTCTTTTTTTTCTCCCCTTTCCTTTTCTTTCCCGGCCGGCTGCCTCGATGACCGTGCCACTCGGCTTTTCTCGTGCTTCCCTGACCCCCTTTTGGCATCGCTGCTGCCAGGATGGCTCAAGGCGGGAGGGTCAGCCCCTCAAAACGGGACGTGCGATTTTGTTCAGCACCTCAAAACGGGCTGTGCGACTCCCTGCCGCAGGGTTAGACAGAGATGGAGTGTTTCTGTGGATGACAAGAGCATCCAGAGTAAGAATAGTAAATATGGAAAATCCTGAAGGGTTTTTAAGCCTTGTGCTTTATGGCTCAGCTTGCCTCTCTCCTTGGGAAGCATCTGCACATCCCAAAAGATGCATCCTAGCGCTCGTCGCCAAAAGGTTTTCTGCGCTTCCCTCTACAGCATCTTTGTAATAACTGGTACCAAAACTGGGGGGAAACACCGGTCTGATGCAGCCTGGCACTTTGCGTGTCCTTATATTTTCCACCCCCTATTTAGCTCCATGTAGCGAACTTGTTCCCACTGCTCTGGTTTGCAAATGTTGTGTAGGTCAAGTTGAAGATTTCTCTTGGCTTCAACCCTGCGAGTCCTTGCCAAGTATGTGGTTTATTGCATGCAAATGTTAGTCAACAGTTACATTATCCAAAGACAGCCTTTTTTCTTTTTCTTTTTCTTTTTTTTTTAGCTTTAAATAAACGATTTGGCCCAAAGAAGTGTAAATGTTATGTCAGCATTAGACACTATTTAATCTTGATGGATATGTTAGCGGCGGAGCGTGACACTAATTGACAGACATTAAATGATGCTTTCTGTTTCTAGTTGCGTACAAACAGGAGTTCTGCTTCGTTAAGACTGATTAAAACTCCACGTCTCCATAGTTAGGGTGTGATTTTTCTTTTCTGTGTTAATCAAGAGGATATTTATCAGGGGGGAAAGCCTGCCATGGCATTCCCCTCGTTGTGATTAATGCTTTAACACTCTCGGATGATTTGGTTATCCAAACGGCACAGCCCTTCTTTTTGTCCTTGTGCTTTGTGCTTGGGGGGAAAAAAAAAAAAAAAGGAAAACCCAACTGGAAGTCTATCTTCTGTCCATAAAGGAACCACTTGCGGGTTGCAGAGCAGAGGGTTGGGAAGGAGAGGAGGGAGGGCAGTGCTCGCGGCAGGGCTGAGTCAGCCAAGATGTTTCTCCACGGCAGAGGCTGTGAAGAAGCCGGAGCTGCTGCCTGCATCCATCCCTGCCTCCGACCGGCACCGACGTCGGACCCAGAACCTGCTTTGGCAGATGCCCACGCTGCAAAAAAAGCACTTTACCGTGCCGGTGGTGCAGCAAGCTTTGGCGTGCAATAGCGTTTTGGCCTGGGTTGTGAACAAGGCAGAGCCTGTAAGCAGGACCACGCCGCTGGCAGGATCAGTGCAGGGGGAGGAGACCCGATTTCCAGCCCTGGCTGCGGGGACCGCTGCTTGTCACTGCCTGTGACAAACGGTCACCCACGGACGGGAGCTCTTGTTCCCTTCCACGAAATCGCCGGGTGAAGGTGGCGGAGCCTGGCGAGCTGCATCTGCCTGAGGATTTGGCTGCTGAGGATCCAGCACCAGCCTCCTAAGGCAATGAGATCTCATTTTGCCATCTTGATGCCTGCTTTGGCTTTTTTTTTTTTTTTTTTTCTCCTTTTAAAGCTACTTGAATACAAAATTAAGCTGGGAGTTACTGCTCGCTTTCCATTTGGGCAAAGTCGCTGCTGCAGAGGGGAGGGAGTGTGTGCACGGGCCGGCTGGGACCCAAGGTCAGTCCCTCTGCCTCCGTACGAGGGGGAAGCGCTCACGCTGACAGCTCCCAGGATGAATTCTTCTTCGTAAGGTCCTACAGAGCCCACCGCTCCCCCTGAGTGCGCTGATGTGGTTGCAGGACTGGAAGGCAGGGGCAGAAATACAAACTGGGACCAGTGCTTGTAGTGCAAAACTCTGGAGGCCACTGGGATTGTGCTTAAATTGTGGGATTACAGGTAATTTGGGGGTGATAAAGAAAGTCCTTTGCTATATAAGCTCTTACTTTTGGGGAAACGGTCACCTGTTTCATGCTCATCGGACAGTAAATGGGATTAGGGGATGCTCGGTGGTACTCAGTACCTGGCTGGATGAGTGATGGAGCAGCATTTGGTGCTGAGCAGCTAGAAATAGTGATGAACGGTGATTTACCACCTGCAAAACCTTGTGAGCTGGTGCTTGTGGCTATTCATTGCACAAGACTCGCTCGAGTGCAGCATCTGCAGCGAGTTGTTTGTGTGGGAAGCTGGTGCTGGTGGGACGCCCGGGGTCATTTTGTGACACAAACGGCGAATAAAAGAAAACCTGAACCCAGAGCAAAGAACCCACAGAGGCAGCTTGTTTTTAATAAAGACTCTGCGCTCTTTATTCCACAGGACAATGCACATCAGATAAAATAGTATAAAAAAATATGTACAAAAATAGCGACTATTTGCACTGGACTCGCTTTATACCAGCAACGTTAAGTATGAGCAGCTGGGTGCTGAAGCAACAAGGATATTTTACTGGTTGTAAACCATGAGCGGGGGAAAAAAAAAGTAGCTACAACACAAACATTTTCCCAAAGAAGCGTCCAAGAAGTTCCGTTTGTATCTAATTTTCAGTTTATATCTAATTTTCCCAGCCCAATTCAGTCCTTCCCAGCATAACGTGCCCGTCCCTGCTGCTCTCCCACCGTCTGTGCAAAGCACACACCGCGATCCCTATTTCAGGGGCAGCTCCAGGAGGGTCAAATCCGCTAATCCAGCGTATTTAGTGCAAATATAGCGTCTCTGCGTTGATTTAAGCAGCATCCCAAGGGTCCGGGTGTGGGTGAGCCCATGTTTTTTGCAGGACTTTCTCCCCTTGGAGATGCCATCAGGAGGGATGCGTGCCCTGCGGGGGCTTGGCTTCGAGGCCATAAGGGCCTTTGTTGTGTTTTGTTTTTTTGTTCCAAGCAGTGGATAAGCAGAGTGCAAGGTGGATAAGCAGCAGGGCTGGGTTTGAAACACATTGCAACAGTGCAGGGGAGATGGCCTTCTTTCCCGAGCGCCGGCTGCGGGAGAACGGGCTGGGGGGATATGCAGCATCTGAGAGCAGGAGCTGGAAGAAAAATGTTATCTCAAGATATTAGGGGTTACTTTCAGACAATTAGAAAGCAACTAGTTGTCCTCCAAATTGGGCAAACAGCTGTGACAGCAAGAGCAACTGAGTATCTGCTGCAAAGGGTTTCAGTTTGGGTGTTCTCCCCTCCCTGCCCTCCCTCCCCCCTGAGGTTTGCTGCACCCCCGTACCCCCCAGCAGCTTCGCCCTCGCTGCGGATCTATCGGCAAGGCAAAAGATCAGTTTCCAAATGATCTTGTTCGAAGGGATGGATCTAAGCGGTTCCTTAACAGTATCTTGCTGTCTGTATTTCCCTGCTGCCGGAGGGAATTGGACCGCTGTGATTTTTAATTCTAACAGGCACCTCGGGGGCATTTCTGGAGGTTCGCAGGGAAGAAGCCTCTGTGTATCGTTGTTTCAGAAGATTAAATTTGTTCTAGCAGAACTATGCTGATTTACACTAGCTGAGAAAAGGCAGTTGATGTGTTTCCTCTCTTGGAAATCTCCTTAATTTCTACACTTTCTCCCATGGACTTAGTGGCATCTAAAGTTTTAAGTATGCTTAGTTAAAAAAGAAAAATAATCTTTGCTACTCTGCTAGTGCAAATAGTTGTCATCTCACTAAAAAATCAGTTGTAAAGGTACCATCATCCTCTTCCTGCCCTGATGCCTCGGTGCTGGGACTTGGACTGATTTCGCTTGCAGAGAGTTTGCTGCTTTGAAAGCTGACGGCAGCGCTGAACTCTTTGAGCTGTTGCTATTTTAAATAGCTTACATGGGAACGTTCAAACAGCGTCAACACCCGGATATGCAAAACTCATCTGTCATTGCGCTATTGTCCGTGTTCCCGAGGCTTTCTGGTTTAGCTTCTCAAGGCTGTTAAGGCACCGGCGGTTGGCATCTCGGCCGTCGCAGGGCAGAGGGACGGGTTTGGGTGGGGGGAACTGGCACAGCTCCGTCCCGGCTGGGGCCGCCGCCTTCGCTCACGTCCCGGCAAACCTGGTCCCCGGCTGCAGCTCCGTGACCGTCAGGCACTTCGGGTTGCTGTCGCTCGTGGCAAAAAGGGGATTAATTCTCCCTAAAAGGGTGTTGTCCCAGGTGGAGGCTGTGGTGCTGCCCAACAGCACGCAGAAATCTCAGGGGGGGCTCTAAGCCCCTCTGGGACCATTAGCAATTCTGGTATCGATAGCAGAAATGCAAATTTTTTTCCTTTTTTTTTTTTTTTTAAGCCTAATTTTTAGGTCATATGGCATCTGGTGGCTGAAGCGGCCGGGCTGGGGGCGTATTGGTG